GCTGGGACGGGTACTGGGCGCGCAATACTCCATGAGAGCCACCTGCGCCTGCTCCTGCAGCCTTTTCGCGCGCGCAGAGGCCGAGAGCGCCATGACTTTGAGGCACTGGACTCCAACCGAGTCCCCCTGCAGGCGGCCCATCTCGTCCACCTGCTCCTGGTCCAGGAACGGCCACGCGCGCTTCGGACTGTCAGTGCCGCCCTGTGCAGGGCAGGGGCAGCGACTAAGAGCAGCGCGCCACCAGCGTATCTCACCTGGTCCATGGCCCAGCGCCGCGCCACCGCCGCCCGCACCTGGCACCCTGCCGCTGCGCCCATCAGCTCCCACACTGGTTGCTGGGGAACGAGTTCTCCGGCCTCCCTGCACATGCCCGCGCCCGCAGCTGCCACCCGGAACAAGCCTCTGTACACTGGCGCCGGCCAGCACCCAACCCTGGAGGGCTGCTGGAGGAGGCGGCCGCGCTAGCCAGGCAGCGATTGCGGGATGCGCCGCACTGCAGCGCTGCGGGGCGGCAGACGGGAGGAGAAGGAGGAGATGAGAGAAGGGCAGGGAGACGACAGCCAGAGGCTAGGCTGGCTCAGAGTACCCCCAACCCCCGCTCCGGGAGATCACGAGTCGGGTAGGGGGCCTGGGGTCTTCCCCAGGTGGGACTGGGAGCTGGGGCTCGCCCCTGCCAGCAAGCAGGTGAGGTGGGAGGAGGAAACCGAGGCAGGAGGGCTGGCTGCCAGGCAGGGCAAATTAAGGAGCCATAATGAGCCCGCCCACCTGGCCTGATCGAATCCATGAGCTCCAGCCCTAGGCCAGCCTCACGCAGGGTGCATTACCAGCCCTGGAGGGGACTCGGGGCTGGAGGTGGGGCTGAGTCCTGCGGGGGTGGGGGTCAGCTGTCCAGTAGGAGTGGCCAAATGGAGCCCAAAAGTGCTGCCCTGGTTATAAGCCACTCCTGCACCACCCACCCCATCCTACCCCAGGGCCTTTGCACCTGCTCACCCCCCTTCTTCAAACCCTCACCCCAACTCTTCCTCTCCAGCCAAGGCTGGGGCGTGGGGTTCAAATCCCCCCACAACTCCCTCCTTTAACACCAACCCCCCAATTAACAAATCTGCTTTAGAGCAGTATTGGCCATGGAGGAAGGCTACCCTGGTGGCAATTGAAGCCATGGGCTATTTCTTGAGGGCCAACTGTATGCAGGGACCCTGGAGCACAACAGTGCACAAGACAAAGAGAGTCCCTGGAGAAGTCATTGGGTTCCAAAGCAAAGTAAGGGGTTGTGAGCTGTGATGGTGGGAAGCCGTGCATGGGGTGGGGGGTGCAGCACGTGGCTGTAGGTGCGCCCACCTGAGGGCCGGGCCAGCGGGATTTCAGATCAGCCACGTGAGAAGAGGGGCACAGGTGAACCCCCCAAGCTGAAGGGAGTGGCTTTTCCAAGGGGCTCTGAGCCGACTTTATCAGCTTCCCTCACAGACGCAGTGAGGGGGGAGGACTTCGAAAGCGTGAGAGACTGGAGTCAGACCCTGGGAGGAACCGGCAGACAGAAAGCAGGTATGGGGTGCGCATTTATCCTGAGGCTGGAACCCCCTCTACCCCTACCCCGAGACCACCGCCCCCCCTCCCCGTGTGGAGCCTGGAGAAACTGCAGGGCATTGGAGTTTAGGGCCGCACTGCTTGGACTCTGTCTGCCCTGGGCCAGGCTGGGGCTTCTGGGGAGGAAACAAGAGTGGGGTCCCCATGGGCTCAGGCTGCCCAGCTCCTGCCTTAAGCAAACAGAGGCAGGGGTGGGAGCAATGGAAACCAAATAAATGTGTGTTTGTGCGTGTGTGTGCATGTATGTGTGTGTCTGTGTATTTCTTCAGGACGCAGTGGCCAGGCCTGGGCAGGGGACCGGGCCCTGGCCACAGCTGTAATTGGATTCCTGAGCCAGTACAGGGTGCAATGGCCCTGGTCTTGTGGTTAGCAGTGCCAACCCAGGCCCCACCGGCCGACTGCAGGGAGGATGGGGGCCGCTCACCCTCCTTCCGCAGGCAGGGGGCTGGGGTGCCATTCACCCACCTACCGCACGCCCCCACCAGGCTGCAGCGGGGCTGGGGGCCACTCACCCTCCCTGCACAACCCCCCTGGAAGCACTTCTTGAGCCGGCAGGACTGGCACTGGTCACGCTGATGTTGGTCCATCTGACAGTCCCAATTGGACCTGCAGGTGTAGCAGTGTTAGGAGCCAATTGTCTAATGAATATACAGGGTGTGTTTTTAAAGCCTGATAATTTTAGACATAACTTTCTCCACGTTTTATATTTCTATATTTTAGTTTTCATGTATCCATTTGAAAGGCAGAGAGTAATTCTACTGTGTGTGTGGCAGGAACCCAATTCCTTGAGCCCTCCTGTGCTGCCCAGTCTGCATTAGCAGGAAGTTGAAGACAGAAATGGAAACAACACTCAGAAGCCCTCATTCCATTGTAGCAAGGTTGTCTCAAGGGGATTCTTAACCACTTGGCCAAATGCGCTCCTGCTTACTACTTTTTAAACACCACTCTCTTACATTACATAGGCCCAGGATCACAAAAATTACCAATTCCAATGTTGGCAAAGCCAATGAAAATGGAGCTCTCACAAAGAAAATGAAAGCCAAGCAAATTATTTAATTAGAAGTATTAGCTTGAATAAAATATACTTTGAGTTTCGTGTTTCATCAGGTTAGATAAGTGATGGATTTTCAATAGCATATACACTGAACATAAAAAAGATGTACAAATATTTTTCAACCATCAGTATTACCACCTTTGCAAAAAGCACGTGGATGCTTGAATAGTTCTACAAAAATGTGTTCCCAAAATCATGTGATTGAGTCTTTAAATAAAGGAAATGAATGCTTTATTCTCAATGAACCCATTTCACAAAAGGGCAGAAATACAAATAAAGCCCCTAACATGAACTGGATATGACAATAATTATCTTTGAAAATTCATTTTGTTTTAAGAACTGTTTCTGAAAACTATATTTTTTAAAAAGTAAACAATATTTTAATGGGGAATTACTAACCATGATATAATAAAATATTTTCTGGAATTCTTGATCACAGTTTGAACCAGATTTAATTTAAAAAGTTACTAAAGGTGGGAAATAAGGCATACAAGAAAAACTATTTTTAATTTTTAAATGTATATCTTTAAGCATATCAAATGTCAAAATGAGATTATTGAGAAAACACATGGTAATAGAGAATTATTAGATTTATTTCAAAAATTCTTATTGAATTTTTATAGGCTCTCAAAACTTGATGTAGCAATCTATTTTTTCTGGGACCACGTTTGTTCCTTTGTCCAGGCCTGTTAGCATTATTTGGCAAAAGTTGAACGTTGAGGTACACGTGAGAGAATTATTACTCAATTTTCCTGGCCAGTTTTAGGTAAGAAATCAGGAAACAACCACAACCACCACAACAAACACCACTTTCTCAAGAGCATTTGCAGATCAGTTCTGCAGACTTCAAACGTTTTCAGGTTTGGAATGTTTAGACTACCGCTCTCATGCTAAATTCTCTGTGGCTTTCTTTCTATTTCTGAATTGCTTTTTACAAACAGAATGCAGCATTAGGAACTGACAGCAAAATACCCTGTTCCCCAGATGGTTCAAATAATAACTATGCCAATTGTTTGTATTTATATTGCAAACATCATTTTCACCTAAGTATCACTTACCTCAAATGTTAACTGAATTGTTTTATAGAATTGTTTTTTAAGATTTATTTTCTTTGAGAGGCAGAGTTATTCTACAAAAAGAAATAGATATCTTCAATACAAGCATAATTTTATTCCTTCAAGTGATTGATAGAAAGTATTTTGTACCTTCAATTTGAACAGGATCTCCCCAAAATTAAATTAGATATATTGTTTACCAGTGTGATAAAATGTATTTCACAAAGAGAAAATATGATACAAAAATATAATTTACTTTATTTCTTGAATACTCATATATGTCTTGCTAGACTAAGAATAGAATCAATATATTTTGTCAATCTAATCATTCTGAAACAAAATCAAATAATGAGTAATTTGGAAATGTTTATGAATTATTTTTCTGTTTATTTCTATGGGGGAAGGAGGAATGATGGTAATGTTTCCAAATTCTTCTGGTTAAATGTGGAACAGTTAAAAAATAACATGATATAGTTGTAAGTAGGTCTTAGGCAAAAAATGCATGTGCAACCATGCATGACATGAAATGTATTAAGTTAATACAATCCTTGACTTTTTTTTTTTAACAGGCAGAGTGGACAGTGAGAGAGAGACAGAGAGAAAGGTCTTTCTTTTTCCGTTGGTTCACCCCCACAGTAGCCGGGATCCAGGTGCTTCTCCTGGTCTCCTGGGGGGTGCAGGGCCCAAGCACTTGGACCATCCTCCACTGCCTTCCTGGGCCATAGCAGAGAGCTGAACAGGAAGAGGAGCAACCAGGACAGAACTGGCACCCTGACTGGGACTAGAACCCGGTGTGCTGGCACTGCAGGTGGAGGATTAGCCTATTGAGCCACAGCGCCAGCCTATAGTCATTGACTTCTGATACCTGTGGTGTCCATTCCAATGAAGATTCTGATTGGCTAGCTCATGGTAACATCAAGGACTCTGGTTGGTGTGACTTTAAAACAACTATTGGATTGATTCACATATGTTAAACATAAATTTTAAAATATATGACTACTTTACTTATTAGTTGTGGCAGTTAGTGTTACCTTTCCCTTTTATCTTTGCTTTGTAAAACACACAAAAACATTAATTTGCCATATTCTTCAAATTAAGAAAATGGTTTACTGTATGATGATGTTTAGATTCTCTTTGATCACCCAAGGATTGATTTTTTTCTTGCCATAATAAATCTACAAATGAAAACCTGTGACTAATTAATGATCTTGATCTAAATTAGCACAGAGCAGATGAGTCTGGGGCACTCTTAGATATGAATATTAAAATCTATAGAAATTAAAGAAATTACAATGGGGAGACCAAAATTATTTATAAAGGATCATTTATTAAACATTTTTCACAAAATACAAAGATGGTTGTTCTGCAAGAATACATCACATATTAAAAAATAATGTGTTTTTACTGAATTTAATTTGAAGACGTTCAGAATTGTTTTGTCTATCCCCTTGGGGAGCCCATTTGGCTTTGCTCCTTGTCTGACACCATTTCTAAGAAGGAAGAAACATTTTCTTGTTAATTAAGTCATATTCATAACAGTTTTAATTTTATAGAAATAAAATCAGGGGTGGGCGCCGCGGCTCACTAGGCTAATCCTCCACCTAGCGGCGCCGGCACACCGGGTTCTAGTCCCAGTCGGGGCGCCGGATTCTGTCCCAGTTACCCCTCTTCCAGGCCAGCCCTCTGCTGTGGCCAGGGAGTGCAGTGGAGGATGGCCCAGGTGCTTGGGCCCTGCACCCCATGGGAGACCAGGAAAAGCACCTGGCTCCTGGCTCCTGCATCGGATCAGCGCGGTGCGCCGGCCGCGGTGGCCATTGGAGGGTGAACCAACGGCAAAGGAAGACCTTTCTCTCTGTCTCTCTCTCTCACTGTCCACTCTGCCTGTCAAAAAAAAAAAAGAAATAAAATCAGACAGTGTCTGCCACAACAAAGCTCTCTCCACAAAGTAACTGATATGCCTATGATCCTATTTTTTTCAAGCTACAAGATAGGACGAATCAAGGAGGAGCTAGGTAAGTTGTATAATAACATATTAGCAGCAGTGATAGTAAATGCAACATAATGTTTGTTTTGTCTGTGGTACAAGAATATGTCATATCAGACTACTGTATGTTTCTCTACTTGTACACAAGTAAGTGCATACGGATTGTCTCAGAATGACACATGCATAAAAAGGCAGGAAGCTGGCCTGGCTGGCATTATCAGTGCCTATTTTCATCAGCTAATATGAATGAATTGCTAAAATTAGTGAAGACAGGAAAATGACTTAAGGATAAATATACAGAGTTAAACTGCATCCTTTTTTAAAAATCTATTTGAGTGATCTCAGGCACTTTTGCTGTTCAGGATAAAAGGTTTTATGTTTTATTCTTGATGGCGATTTCTCAGTGCAAGCAAAAGCAAATACCTGCCCACTGTCATAAACATGAACTCGTACATCTGAGAGGGTAAAGTAAGTTCATCTTCAACGTTTTCACTCTGGAAGCATCTCGTGTAGAAATGTGTCATAATTTGTTCTTAGTACCCATTTAATTTTTCAGTTCAAGCAAAGGCAAACATACCTGCTCACTGTCATACACAACCAAACATCTCTGGACTATTCAAAGCAATTCACCTTCTGATTTTCATCATGGAAGCATCTTTGATAAGTGGCACTTCCTTCCTCTATAAATCATGCAAAACAGACCCATGATGCCTGAATTTAATAATATTAAAAATCATGGCCATGGCCATCTCTCTGTGTAAACTCTGTTGGGTAAGGCTTGCCATCATGGTGCTTCTTTCCTGAGAATGAAGCTGGTCCTGTCTGTGTGGATCATAAGTGTGCATGCTCTGAGCTGTGGTCCTGTTGTGGCTGTCTTCATTGTCCAGAGAGTCCCCTGTTTGCTGGAGCATGGCTGCACCGATCCCTGACAGCTCTGAAGGGAGCAGGGTTCCTTTCTTCACGTTCACCAGTTCCTTTTCTCAGGCAGCAGTGCCCGGCTGGCCCAATTTTACCCTCTTCCACTTCATCCTCCTGTTCTGGAACCACACTTTCACCTTGGACAAAGAAAGGAAACACACGAAGCAAAACAGAACATTAAATTCAAGTGCTTTCTCCTTTTGGTCTGCCTAGGAGAACCAGATTCTCAAAGGTTTACATGAAGACACCATGGAAGAGGGTAAATATAAAAATAATCCCACCCTGAGTTTAATCAGGTTGCATGTTTGTGATAATAATTTATAAACATTCAGAAGATGCACACAAATGATTACCTTTCATATTTAACAACAAAGGGAATTCATTGTAGTATTACCTCACAGTTTTTGCTTTATGGATTTAAAAATTAAAAATCACAATAATAAAGAGAAGTAGACAAGAAAGGGCTTATCATTCAAGATGTCTCCAAGGTATTTGGTTCTGCTCTTGCATGATAAACCTGTGATGGGACCTATGTGGATACGTAGTCAGGAGCTGCATCAATAGGTTGAATGTTATGTGAATGTTCATCTTAACACACTAATGTGAAAAAAAAAAAACTGTTTTCCAAGGTTGTATCAGTTTAGTTTTCTTATTCATTCCAGGGCATAAAAGTTCAAGTTCACCCAAATCTTTGCCGGCATTTGGATTTACCAGGTTCAACTTTTTTTTTTTTACAACACAATGACAATAAATGTTGTCTTACTGTGCTTTTATTTTGCCTTTCCTGTTTTCTAATGGAGTCAAGTATCTTTGAAGAGTTTAGGATCCAGAGTTGGTGTCCATGTCCCATGTTGGAGCACCAGGAGTCCTGGCTGCTCTGTGTCCAATTCACTCCCTGCTGCTGCACCTGGGAAGTGCTGCCATTTGGGGAGTGAGCCGATGTATGGAAGGCCTCTCTCTCTCATTTCTCATAGATAAATTAACTTTGTTTTTTAAAAAAATAATGGCCCACTGTAGTGCTTCTATGAAATACCTCCTGTATCTGGTATGAATTCTTTTTAAAATTAATCTTACTCTTTATGGACTTTAAAATGTCTGAGTCCTAATTTAATACCTTCAGTTGTATGGAAGCTACTATCTTCTCTGTTTGTGCCCTCCCCTTTTCTTGGAGTATTTGTTGATGATCAGAAGCTCTTAATGTATTTATATTTACACACTGTTTCTTTAATGGTTAGAGCTATTGAAGCATACTCTCTGCTGAGGCCACAAATGTATTCTACATCTTCCAAGAGTTTAAGGTTTGCATTTCAAATTGAACCTGTCAAACCAGGAAGTATTGATTTTAGTATACAGAGGAAAGCAAATGCTTCATTTATTCTGTATGAATAACAAGTTGTTCTTGGGGCCGGTGCTGTGGTGCAGCGGGTTAACACCCTGGCCTTAAGCACCAGCATCCCATATGGTGCCAGTTCGAGACCTGGCTGCTCCACTTTTGATCCAGCTCTCTGCTGTGGCCTGCAAAAGCAGAAGATGGCCCAAGTCCTTGGGCCCCTGTACCCATGGAGAAGATTGGGAAGAAGCTCCTGGCTCCTGGCTTCGAATCAATGCAGCTCCAGCCATTGCAGTCAACTGGGAAGTGAACCAGTGGATGGAAGACCTCTTTCGCTCTCTCTGCCTCCCCTCTCTCTGTGTAACTTTCAAATAAATAAATAAATAAATATTTAAAAAGAACAAGTTGTTCTAGGTAGCTTTTTACAAAAGTCACCATTTTCTCAGTGATCACTGTTTCAATTCCATCATCAATAAAGCTTCCATGTAGAAAGTGGCTTCAAAAAGCTCACAGAAAATGGAATTAAATGATAACTTCTTGTGTTCCAAGAGGTTTCTGAGGGTTTTTTTTTCAAGATTTATTTTATTTATTTGAAAGTTATGCTAATGGAGACAGAAAGAGAAACAGAGAAAGAAAAATCTTCCATCTGTTGGTTCACCCCCAGTCAGATGAGCCCACAACCATGTCTGGGTCTCCCATGTGGGTGCCAGGGAGTAAGTACTCAGGGCATTGTCTGCTGCTCTCCCAGGTGCATTAGAAGGGAGTTGAATCTGAAGCAGAGCAGCCAGAATTCAGGCTGGTGCTCCACATGGGATGCTGGTGTTACAAACAGAGGCTCAGTGCCCTGCACAACAGCACTGGCCCCATCCATGAGCTTTTGAAGGCCTCTCATATGCACAGCTTTCTGCTCTACTCTGTTCTGTCCCTGGGTCAGTTTTTACCTGTGAGAACATATTTTCATTCTTGCTGTAATTTTATACCAGATCTTTGTATCTGATAGGGACAGGTCTGCTTCACCACCAAATATATTTCATTCTCCTACACCAAATATATTTTGAATGTTCTGCATTTCTTTTTTTTTATTTTTTTTTTTGGACAGGCAGAGTGGACAGAGAGAGAGAGACAGAGAGAAAGGTCTTCATTTGCCGTTGGTTCACCCTCCAATGGCTGCCATGGCCAGCCGGTGCACTGCACTGATCCGAAGCCAGGAGCCAGGTGCTTCTCCTGGTCTCCCATGGGGTGCAGGGCCCAAGGACTTGGGCCATCCTCCACTGCATTCCTGGGCCACAGCAGAGAGCTGGCCTGGAAGAGGGGCAACCAGGACAGAATCCGGCACCCCGACCGGAACTAGAACCCGGTGTGCCAGCGCCGATAGGTGGAGGATTAGCCTACTGAGCTGCGGCGCTGGCCTCTGCATTTTTATATTTGAAATAATCTCAATTTCTGTGAATACACAGTGCCAATGGGAATGTGATGAGAAATAACTCAAATTTCCAAAGACATATTTATATCTGCAACCTTCAAATCACATGATTCATAAAATTAGTATAAATTCCTTAGACATTTACACAATTAAATATTGAAATTGAGATGATTCTTAACTAGGGATTGTCACTGCTTTCACTGCTGGGCTCAATTAACATCATGTCTCATTTATTACCTATCTATACACTAGTCCATTTGACAAAAATAATACAATATAGTAAAAATTTGATTTAAAGTTCAGTGGTGAGGGGCCAGCACTATGGCATAGCATGTAAAGCCACCACCTGAAGTGCCAACATCCCACACGGGTGCCAGTTCAAGTCCTGGTCACTCCACTTACAATTCAGCTCTCTGCTATGGCCTGAGAAAGCAGTGGAAGATGGCCCAAGTTGTTGGGCCCTGCACCCATGTGGGAGACCCAGAAGAAGATCCAGACTCCTGGCTTCAGATTGGCTCAGATCTGGCCATTGCTGCCATTTGGGGAGTGAAATAGCGGATGGAAGACCTCTCTCTCTCTCTCTCTCAGTCTCTCTCTCTCTCTCTCTCTCCCTCTTTCTCTCTCTGCCTCTGCCTCTCTGTAACTCTCTGCCTTTCAAATATAAAATAAATCATTAAAAAATATTTGATGAGAACTGACATTATTTCTGCTTACTAATCATAAGGATCACTACATGCATCATGTTACAGCATGTGTGCTACATGTGCTTTATTTCTAATACACTTTCCCCTCATGTTGTGAACATTATTTCTATGTTAAAATGAGACAATTGAGGTAAAGTTTACATGAACATGACACAGATGGAAACTCTAACCCCAGGATTTAATCTAACACCAGGATTTAAACACCTACGTTTATCTGGCTCCAGAATTGGGGTTTGGTTTTTTTATTTGAATTCTATCTCAAACTCCTGTTTTTAGAGCATTCAGGATAAGAAGTAAAGTACAGGATTGTGAAATGCATGAGCACCATCCATATGGTGACTCTCATTCACGTAATTCCTACTTGCTGTGAATGGGTTGGTAAATGGGGCGCTATTTTCCTGCCCTGTACTTTAGGTAATTACACTAACCTAATCACCGTGTGAGCTTGACAGTGCAGGTTGCATTAGATCTGTTGCACATGAGCTGGGTACTACTCTTGGCTTCACTTCTGAGTTTTTGTGTGAATTTGGGAAAACCACACTTTTCTCTGTCTCAATTTTCATATTTGTGATATTGGAATAATGAGGCTTTCAAGATTCTCCATAGGATAGTTTCTCCATTGACCATTCCAGATGGGGGAAAAAAAAAAAAACATGTAAGTCATCATCATAATCACTGTCACCAAGACTGAAATGTTCATGCAAAATAATCTTGACAGGAAACAAAAAATGGGAGGAATAGAGTTATTGAAATCCATGCTTATGTTCTTCTCTAGGAGAGGAGGTACAGTAATTCTGTAATACCAGCATCCATCTGTCATGTGCAATTTCACGTGAGAAAATTCTAAGAAGGTACGGATTTTAGGAATACGACTTTGTATTTAAATGAAAGTATGTCCGTTCATTTTTTCTCATCATATGACATTTTACCATTTAATTTTTAAAAATTATTTGTTTTTATTCATTTGAAAGGCAGAATGAGACAGTGAGAGTGAAAGAGATTATCTTCCATCTCTTGGTTCACTCCCCATAACCACAGGAGCCAGGAGTGGGCCATACCATAGTCAAGAGCCAAGAACTCCACCTGGGTCTCCCACCTGGGTGGTAGGGACCCAAGTAATTCAGCCATCAACTGATGCCTCCCAGGGTGAGCATTAGCAGGAAGTTGTATAGGAAGTGGAGGTGTTATTGGAATCCAGGCACTTTGCACATTTGCATTTAATGTGTATAATATCTGGTCTCCTAGGCTTTACATTAGAGAAGAAAACAAATTATATATGAATCTATAGTGTCTCATAATTTCCTAAGGTGGCCACAGTGAATTAGGTTAATGGGAAGCTGAATCTATATAATGTCATAATCCATATTTATATTGTACCATAAATGTATGACTTTGTAGAAACA